AAATATTTATGGAGATATGGACATTTTTTTAAAAAAATAATTATTTTATCTTATGTTTATTTGCTATAACTTTAAAAATATTTTATAAAATCGAACTAAATTTTTAAAGCAAATTAAAATTAATTTCAAAATTCTCGATAATTTTTTTTTTTTTTTTTTTTTTTTTTTTTTTTTTTTTTTTTTTTTTTTTTTNTTAGGTTATAATTTTGTAGTGAATCGTATTTGACAACTAAAGAAAGAAGTCCGATTTGAATATCTGAAAAATTTGAAAAGTTTCAAGCAATTTTCTAAGTACTTTTTGTACTTTTTAAAAGAACTCAAAATGATAAGGGGTTTTCTACAAATAATATTGTGTATCATAAAAGGAAATTAAATAACAAATAATAATTACCTTACAATAAACGTTCATGCAACAAAATATGATTGTATAAAGAAAAAAAACATCCTAAAAAATTTTTTTATGGGGAATTATGTCCAATAATGCCGGTGTCATTTTTTATAAATCTTGCTTAATAGTACAAAATAAAATTTGTGGAAAACCCCTTATTATTTTAGCTTTCTTTTAAAAAGTATGAAAACTATTTTGAAAATGGCTTGAAATTTTTTAAATTAAGATATTCAATTCGGAATTTTTTTATTAATTGCCAAATAAAATTCACTTTAATATTACGAGAAAACAAGCTTAACTGTTTCCCGCTCATGCGTGGTATAAAAGAATTACTTTAATTACTCATATCTTGCACAGTTAAAAAAAAAAACAAATTCTCAGTTTCGAAACAATAATTTTTGAAATCAATTTTAATTTGTATCAAAAAAAATTTTTATTGAATGTTTTCAAAGTTAAAGCAAAAAAAAATGAGATGAAAAAAAATTCCTTTTTTTATAAAAATGTTNAAAAAAAAAAAAAAGGTAAGAGAAGGAAAAAATAAAAAATTGTTTTCTTCATTTTTTTAATGTCCTTATTTCCATAAGTAAAGTTTACGAAATTTTGTGCAATTATAACATATAATTACCGAAATAGTTGTTGCAAGTTACAAAGTTAATACTACAATTTTTGGCATAGGGTGTTTAAAAATACTATTTTCGATTTTGAAATATACTAAATCGATTTTAATATTTACGAAACACTTCCAAATTTACAAAATGATTCTCTAAGTATTTTTCGTGAATAATCAAAGTATATGTTAGCATAGAAGTGTTTACATCCTTCTGTCCAACCCCTGTATGCTCTCAATTTGGCCGCCATATTGTCTCTATCTCGAAATTGCGTAATTATTCACCTTTAAACTTCTAAAAATAGTCAAAAGCATTGGTGGTTATACATTTAAAATACGCCTTACCATTATATTACTCAAGAATGTAGTTAAATGGTAGAAATATTCTCTAATTATTCGATAAATGTCCATAAAACACAACCTTCTTCTTTAACGTGCGACAGATTTGTGTAAGTTTTATTGAATTATTGGTGTTTAGTTTTAACTACATACTTTAAAAATGTAGGAATGCTTGATTCGGTATTAACTTGCAATAACGTAAATATTTTCACAAATCTCAGAGTTTTTCAACTCAAAATTCGGTTAGGTATTGCACCACAGTTTTTTAACGGTTAAAATGATAAATCCGGTTAATTTTAATACTAACCTGTCAATATTAATAATAACCGCTTCTTTAAATCAAAGTGAGAAATATCGTAAATTATTCACTTTAACCAGTTATTATTAATTATTACCGGTTATAATTAATAATGTAACCGGTTATTACCAATGAAGTTTGGTCAATGTAATTAAATGGTTTATATAGCATTGGGACATGGGTGTGCCTCTTTGTATATGTGTTACGGTGAAAGAGATAAATCCGGTTATTATTAATTTTAATCGGTCAAAATTATTGATAGTTAATTATTGATAGTTCTTTTGGTCAAAGTGAGAAATAAAAAGGGGAGATTTCCGTGTCGTGGTGTAGGGCAGAATAATCGCCAAGTTTTGGCGATTTCTGAGTAGCGGCTCACGAGAAACAAAAACAAAAAAACAAAAAACAAAAAATCCTCATAGAAAGGAACCAGCTCGAAGGGTATAACTCGTAACCACCCCAGGTAAACATCTAAAGTTTTTTTTTCTTTCTTTTTTTAAGGGGAAAAAAACATCCAGTTTAAAATCAATTTGGTGCCTTGGAGATAGTAATTGGCGTAGCATATCACCCAATAAAATCGTGAAAGAATGACATTGACCAAACTTCATTGGTCATTATTAATAATAACCGGTTTTCCTTTTAACAGGCTTATTTGATTATTTATAATATTGCCGGGTTAGTATTACTAATAACCGACTATTCGCATTGACAGTATACACTAATTCTTATAACAATATTAGTTTCATAATTAAAGAAACACGCATCACAATACTAAGATGAACTGGACTTAACAAAACAGGAGCGAATAGAAATTAAATATCACAAAATTATTTAATACAGTTGATATATTTATATAAATCTTCTTATGAGAACACAATTATCTTTATAACACAACCAAAAACATACACGCCTTTAATAATTGTTCTGTTTCTGCAGAATGCACTTCTGCAGAATGCACTCATATTCTCGTGCTCGATTTAAACAACTTAGCGTTGTCATTTCTTTCTTTCAGTTTTCTGAATACAACGTTTAATGATATTCTTACAAATCGGCGAACTTGGAAAAGCAAGGCAACTTTGTTGTTGTTGTTGTCTTACGTCACTTGTCAATGCTGACAAGCCTATTTTAAGGCAGAGTGTAGTGCCTCGCGTTTTCCAGTGGTGCCATCTAGGGTTAAGAATTCGACTTCTGCCATGCACATACGTCACAGCCCGTTTTACAGGGAGGACATATTCACAGACCATCCATTTATCCATCCACAGATCGTATCTTTGATCTGAACCAGAGCACTACCAATCTCCGATCTAGAATCCCCTGAGGTTGTATTGATTTGTTATAGGAACTTAAAGGAGTTTGTGACTCCAACAGATTTAGTCTGCATTAGTCACCATTTCATACATGGGGAGTCTATGGCCAGCGGCGATCGAAATCACGACATCTTGGAAATGGGCCCAACCAGGTTATCCCGGCCCAGCAATTTCATTAAAATATAAATGTAACGAACGTTTTATTTTTAATTATAACTACATCTATCATTTTCTATATTAATAATATTTAGTGCAGTGTTTTTTAATTTTATACAGTGAACCGCTGCTTTATTGTATAAAAATTCATACTTTTATTTGTTGAAATAAAATATTTTTCTTTTCCAAACAATAGTTAAAATTTGATTTTACAATTACAATACTACTACTAATAATAAATACAATACTACTAAGAGTACTATTTAATATTCTCCAATGAAGTTATTTACTAAGAGATATTAGTTGATGAGTCAGTTAGGCAACGAGGGAATGAAAAAAGCGAATCAGTGAATCAGTTACTCATTCGTTGAGAGAATCAGCAAATGAGTGAATCGGCATGTTTGTGGATGAGGTAATCAGGGAATTGTCGAAATGTTCATTAATAAAGGAGGAGCATAAACTTATAATTTGTAGCAGTTATTATTATTTTTTTTAAACTACAATTATTATTATTTAAGCCTTTGACATATAATTTTTATTAAACAAATTTTACATACCTATTTGATTATTTTACATTAGTTAAGGTCAGAAAAAGTGAAAAATATTATATTCAGCACTTTAATGATTTATGGTTATGAAATACCGTTGTCTTTTTCTGCGTCAAAGGGAATCTTCCAAATACTCCCAAAGAATAATTTTTCAAAGTAACACTCATTTAGATGTAAGAGAAACAGTTATTCGTCATTGAAATTTCTTTAGTTTACAAAATCAATTATTTATATATATTTTTGAATATAAATGAAATAAAAAAATGTTAAGCTACTTTTTTGTATTCTATATTTTAATGGAAATATAATTCCAATAATCCAACAGATTTTTTTCAGTAACTATTAGACTGTTTTTCATAATTAAAAAATATCAAAATATATTTTTGCTTGTAATTAGAGCGTAAGAAAAATATATATAAATAGAACGCCTATGTCCCATCTTCCTCAAAGGGTTAAAAAAAAATAATAGTATCTATTAAACAACTTTTCAATTCGTAGTATAAAAAGACCAACAATGCTACACAACTAAGTAATAAAGTATTATTCGATAAAAAAAAAAGTTAAGCTGTAAATTTTATAAAATGTTTTTAAAGAAATATTATCATAACTTTAGTCAAACAAATAAAAATATAACATGTTCTACACACAACAATTAATTTTATTTTGTCTTATGTCTAATAATTTGTTTGTTTTAAACCATTTCTCTTCGAAATCAAAAACACATATTTTCTAGAATTCTAAATTATTTCTAATAAATTTTGCAATCTGGAAATAACATTTTTATTCATAAAAATTGCCAAAATAACAATTAAAATTAGAACAATTTATTTTTAAGAGCTTTGTTTTGTGTCTTAGATCGAATGATGAACTAAAAGCTGTAAGAAAGTAGTCTAGACCAAAAAACATCCCCATCGTTTGCAAAACATCATTCTTGAATGAGAACAAAAAATCTTCATCTTCAGAAAGAAGGCGTGCCCCTTAGCAACCCTCACCCGCTATCCATCCACCCCCCTCTGTCCACTCCATGGTTGAAAAAGGCGGCATGCGTGCTCACACCGTAACATCCCCCACCCCCTTGAGTTATTGGATGCTCTGTTTCGATTCATCCTCTTCATTATAATAATCGTCCACCCCTCATTTTTTCGTTCGATCCCCCCCCAAAATTCATCCCTTTATTAATACTCTTTTTTCCGACTCTCCTCAGAGCCTTACGATTATTTATTTATTTACTGAGTGATTATTTGAGACCGCAGAACCGCGCGCGCGCCGTTCTCTCTCTCTCTCTTCCCCCGTTAATAATTTCTCCGCCCCTGTACCACCACCCCCACAAAGTGTTCCCAAGCACGTGATTTTTATTCGGCCGTCGAATCTCCCCGCGCGCGGTAGGGTGGTTGGATTTTTCCCAGTTTGTTATTTTTTTCCTGTCTTGGGTCAGATTTTCTAATTGTGATCAAGCAGACGATATTTAATTGTAATCGAAGTGAAGAGGAAGAAAAAATCGCTTGCAATGGATGCAATCGGAAAGATCTCTCAGATTGTCCGGTCGGAGAAATGACGGACTCAGCCGGACCACCGACGATAGGAATCTGTAAAGACCGGCCGTTTAATTTCGGGGAAATGGGAAGCGCTTTTCGTGTGGTTACTCCTAAAAGACCAAGAGAGGGTAATATACATATTTTTTTTAAATTGTTATAAATTTCTCACATTTATATCAACATTTTATCTCAATTTCTCTAAAATCTCAACTGAGAATTTAAAATATAAATCGAATGTATAAATTAAAGTTTGTTTTTTTATATATGATTGCAAATCTCAATTGATATTTCAGCTCAACTTTTTTTTTCTCAACTTCTCTAAAATCTCAACTGAGAATTTAAGATATAAATCGGATCTATTAACTAAATTCGGTTTTTCAATAAATTATTACAAATCTCAATTGTTATTTTGACTCAACTTTTTATCTCAACTTCTCTAAAATCTCAACTGAGAATTTAAGATATAAATCGGATGTATTAATTAAATTTGGTTTTTCAATAAATTATTACAAATCTCAATTGATATTTTGACTCAACTTTTTATCTCAACTTCTCTAAATTCTCAACTGAGAATTTAAGATATAAATCGGATGAATTAATTAAAATTTGGTTTTTTAATAAATTATTGCAAATCTCAACTGATATTTTAACTCAACTTTTTATCTCAACTGTGAATTTAAGATATAAATCGGGTGTATTAATTAAATTCGGTTTTTCAATACATGATTTCAAATCTTAATTTATATTTTAATACATCAATCAGTTATAAATTAGATTGGTTTTTCATTATATGACTGTAAATATCAATTGACAATTTATCATATAAATCAGTTACAGTTTAAATTGGTTTTTCAATACAATAATGCAAATCCCAAATGACAATTTAACCTATTTATCAGTTATAGTTTAAGTTGTTTTGTCAATATATGATTGCAAACCTCCATGAACAACTAATAGACCTATCAAATATAGAAGTTGGTTTTTCAGTATTTGATTGCAAACTTTGTCAGTTTAAGATATGAATCAGTTATAGTTTAAATTGATTTCTCAATGTGTGATTGCAAACTGCGGCTAAAAATCAGAACTATTAATTTTAGTTGGTATTTTACTGTATGATTGCAAATCTCAATTGACAATTCAATATACCTATCAAATATGGAAATTGATTTTTCAGTATTTTATTGCAAACTTTAATTGTCAATTTAACATATCAATCAGTTATAGTATAAATTGGTTTCCCAATATATGATTGTAAATCTCAATTGACAATTTAGCATATTGAGCAGTTACAGTTTAAGTTGGTTTTTCAATATATGATTGCAAATTTTAATTGACAATTTAAAATAAAAATCAAATGCAATAATCCAAATTTGCCTTTAAATATGTGATTTAAAATCTCAATTGATAATTTAAAATTTAATATACCCATCAGATATAGTTTAAGTTGGTTTTTCAATCTTTGATTACATATTGCAACTTGCAATTTAAGATATAAATAAGATGATATAGTTTAAGTAGGTTTTTCAATATTGGATTTTAATGCAGGACTGATAATTTAAGATAAAAAATGTCGCATAATTTGAGTTTTTAGTTATTGTGAAAAAACTTTAGAGCATTTAAAACACGTTTTAATGGTATTTTCCAATAATTAAAACTGGTACAATAGAAATGTTTTTCTCTTTTCAATTTCAATTGAACTCAAATCGTTTTCAATTCAAAACGATTTTCTAATTCAAGTACTAATATGTAAAGAAACCATGTATATATTAAATTCATAATCTTTTGTTAAAATCCTATAAAATTTTGGAGTTATTTTAGAACTATTTTTAATAATTGTGGGTAGTTCAAGTTTTTTGTTTCAAAACGTTGAGATAAGTTATCAAGAAAATCTCAATTATAATATAAGATAATTAAGGCAAATTTTAATTCGNTTAAGTTGGTTTTTCAATATTGGATTTCAATGCAGGACTGATAATCTAAGATAAAAATAGAACATTTAAAACACATTTCAATGGTATTTTCCAATAATTAAAACTGGTACAATAGAAATTTTTTTCTCTTTTCAATTTCAATTGAACTCAAATAATTTTCAATTCAAAACGATTTTCTAATTCAAGTACTAATATGTAAAGAAACCATGTATATATTAAATTCATAATCTTTTGTTAAAATCCTATAAAATTTTGGTGTTATTTTAGAACTATTTAATAATTCTGGGTAGTTCAAGTTTTTTGTTTCAAAACGTTGAGATAAGTTATCAAGAAAATCTCAATTATAATATAAGATAATTAAGGCAAATTTTAATTCGAATTTTTTACACTTTTGAATAAAGATTAAGGGTTTTTTTAAAAATTAAATTAAAATTTTCTTAGCCTTTATTTAAATTTCAACGCGGGAAAAAGAAATAGTATTTTTATTTGTTAATTATTTGTAATAATTTTTTTAAAAAATAGTTGAGTTTTTATTACATTTTCAATAATTATATTTATATTCTGCTTTAATACCAATAATGCGCATTTGTATCAATAAAAAAAAATACTTCACCAGTACAGAAATTTTTTCAAATCCTATCAGGAAAACAATACAGCGTAAAAAAAAATCTTATATCTTTTTTTCTTTTTTTAATCTTCTTCGCAATATTGTTTGTTAAAAAAAAAGTAAAAACACATAATAAATTATTTTTGAATCTACGAACAATGGTTTAAGAGCCATCCGGTCATGCTCATTTTTCTAAGGCTTTTACAAAATAAATGAATAAAAAAATTAGACATAAAAGTCTTAAACTGTCTTTTTTTTTCATTTCCAGAATAAAAAAATATTTATGACAATGTAATAGTTTAAGTATTGTTATGCTTGTGCCAGTTCATATTATTAAAAATTAAAATAAAATTAAAAATTGATAAGGAAATCAAATGCTGAAACAAAATACGAGACGAAAAGTTTCTCTCGAGGTTTTTCAACTTAAGTTAAGAAAAAAGTTAATTCTGATAAACCAAGTGTTAAGAAAAAAGTTCCAACTTAAGTTAAGAAAAAAGTTAATTCTGATAAACCAAGTGTAAACCATGAAATTTCAAATAATAAAAAAATTATTTTCAAATAACTAATTGCAAACAATTTTTTTCAAGACCCAGAATTATACAGTGGTTAAAGTTAATCGGTCACAAAATGCTTGCATTTTGATCTCTTGTAATTTAAAACTTCATAACTTTCTCTTAACTTTAAATATTCAATAGAGGTTAAACAGGATTTATCATGAAAAGATTCCTGTTATAGCATTCAGTATCTTGCTTGTGGGGATGATTGCTTATAACATCGAAACAACTGTGTGCCTCTTTATATTTTGTCTAATCTTGTATTTATTCATCCATAAAGATATCTCAGCTTTCTTTTTATCTTTCGTAGAATAATAATAAGTATCTTTTTAAAAAAATACAGATGAACGTGCAATGCATTACATGCCTTGATGACATTTTATTATTTACCAGTTCTTTTAATATTTAAGAAATATAGATTATTTTTTAATAAAGTGTACTATATTTCTTTGATAAAATTAATAATTCCGATATATCTTTTTTAAAAAAAAAAATTTTAAAAAAAATTATCATAGATATTCTGACAAAATATAATCTTGTAATCCCAGTTTAAAAAAAAAAAAAAAAAAAAAAAAAAAAAAAAAAAAAAAAAAAAAAAAAAAAAAAAAAAAAAAGAAAAGAATGAAAGAATATAATGGAATGATAGAAAAGAATGAAAGTAAAATTTGTTCCATTTTTTACTGACGTCTATTTTTTGAGGTTTGATGTAAAAAAGATTAATTTTCGTTTAATGTTCAGTTTAATGCTATTAAAAGTAAGTAAAATATATGAATGTTAGTTATATTAATAGATCATAATGCATTTTATCACATTAAAATTATAACACTTCAATTTTAAAAAGTAATTTGTTTAAAGAAAAACATAATTCCTCAACTTTGTCCTTTAAAAAGGTTAAAAAAAAAAAAAAAAAAAAAAAAAAAAAAAAAAAAAAAAAAAAAANAAAAAAAAAAATGGAAACATTCTACACTAAACGCTAATACACACTCACTTTTGCCAGTTGAATTTATTTAAAAAATGTTACTAATTGTAAAAATGTTCTCGCCGAGATAGCCTGGTTGATAGGGCGTTGGGCCCACGTGAAAGAAGTCGTGAGTTCGATCCCCGCCGACCGAAAGCTCCCCGTGTAGATTGTGACTGGTGCACGTTAAATCTGTCGTGTCTCAAAGTACCCCAAGCTCCCATAACAAATCGTTACTTCAGGGGGTGCTGAATTGGAGATTGTTCGTTCTCTGGTTCAGGTCAAAATTACGATCTGTGGATGAATAAATGGATATATGAATAGGTCCACCCCATAAAACAGGCTGTGAAGTGTGTATGACTGAAGTCGTATTCTTGGCCATAGATCGCGCCACCGAAAAATAAGAAAGATACCCTCTGCCTTAAAATTCGCTTAATTTCACCAAGCAGGCTCGCTTCTTTTGGCAAGTGGCATTAGAAACAACAAGAAAATACAATTAGAAACAATTTTTCAAAATGAAATACACTATGTATCAGAGTTGGAGGAATTGCTATTTAATACAAATAAATCAATTTATACTTTGATTACTCGCATTTAATTCAATAAATTAAAGAGTGTAATTAATTGATTATAATTAATCAATCACCTCTATCATATTTATGTATAGGTCTTGTAAAGGCATACAAATAGAAAAATAAATCATAAAATATTATTTTTTATGACATAAAATTATACGGAATATTGACCATTCTATTAGAAGTTGTTTTTCACACGGAGAAAAAAAATCTGTAAAATTACCATAATCTATGGTAATGACTTTTCTGGTTGTTCAAAATGTAGAATAAAATAGTTCAAAATGTTATCAATAGTTCAATAAGTTCAAAATGTAGAATAAAAAAAAAAAAGAAAAATGATAGACATATGAAAAGAAAAAGGGGGAGGGGAAATAAGGATTTTGCGGATATAATCGTGTGGGCTGATGAAAAGATTATATCTTTTATTTTCCGGTTTTTTTCCTGTTTTTTAAATAAAATTTCATCCTTTTTTTTATTTTTTTTAAACTGTTGTTTGTTATTCT